CTGAAGGATGCGTACTTTCATGTGTCGATCCTTCTGCACCGCAGACCATTTCTGCGGTTCGCGTTCGAAGTACGAGCATATCATTACGAGGTCCTGCCCTACAGGCTGTCCCTGTCGTCCCGTGTCTTCACTTAAGTTGCGGAGGCAGCCCTTGTTCCCCTGAGAGAACAGGGCGTTCACATTCCCAACTACCTCAATGACTGGCTCATACTAGCTCAGTCTCAGCATCAGTTGTGTGCACACTGGGATTTTCGCACCTCAGCTGGTTGGGCCTTGAGGTCAACTGGGAAAAGAGCAAACTCTACCTGACGCAGAGGATCACTTTTCTCGGTTATGGAGTTGGATTCGGTCGAACAGACAGCACGCCTCACGGAGGAACATGCGCGGTCGGTACTGAACTGCTTGAATTCGTTCAAGGGCAGGACAGTAATCCCACTGAAACTATTTCAGAGGCTCCTGGGGCATATGGCAGCGGCAGTTACGCCGCTGGGGCTGCTTCATATGAGACCTCTAGCACTGGCTTCATGGCCGAGTCCCAAGGTGGGCGTGGCAGCGCGGCACTCACCGGGTCCAAGTTACACCGGCCTGACGCCAAATCTTCACCCCGTGGTCAGACCTTACGTTCCTCTGGGCAGGAGTGCCCCTAGAACAGGTCTCCAGGCATGCTGTGGTTTACATGGATGCCTCCACCACCGGCTGGAGGGCCACGTACAATGGGCACGCAGTGTCGGGGGTATGGACGGGCCCCCAACTGCACTGGCATATCAATTTCCTACAGTTGTTAGCAGTACGCCTTGCCTTGAACCATCTCTCATCTCTTACGAGGCAAGCACGTGCTGGTCCGAACGGACAACACAGCGACCGTTGCATACATCAACCAACAAGGTGGTCTGCGCTCCCGTCACATGTCACAACTCGCCCGCCACCACCTCCTTTGGAGTCAGAAGGTTCTGAGGTAATTTCGTGCCATTCACATTCCGGGTCTGCTCAACCGTACGGCCAACCAGCTGTCACGAGCTACGCTCCCAGGAGAATGGAGACTCCATCCTCAGACGGTCCAGCTGTTTTGGAGATGTTTTGAAGCCGCTCAGGTAGACCTGTTTGCCTCTCCAGAAACCTCTCACTGCCAGTTGTTCTACTCCCTGACTGAGGGAACACTCGGCACGAACGCACTGGCACACAGCTGGCTGCGGGGCCTGTGCAAGTATGCGTTTACCCCAGTGAGCCTTCTCGCACAGACACTGTGCAAGGTCAGGGAGGAAGAGGATCAGGTCCTGCTTGTGGCATCGTATTGGCCCACTCTGACCTGGTTCCCCGAACTAATGCTCCTCGCGACAGCCCCTCCCTGGCAGATTCCTCTGAGGAAGGATCTACTGACTCAGAGACGGGGCACCCTGTGGCACCCACGTTCAGACATCTGGCTGCCCCCGAAAGAAGGCAGACCCCACCCAAGCTTTGCTCTTTCCCGTCCGAGCCTTGAGATGCTATGTAGGCTGGACACAAAGCTTTAGAACCTCAGACCAGCTCTTTGTCTGTTACGGAGGCCGGCAGAAGGGGAATGCTGTCTCTAAGCAGAGGATAGCCCACTGGATTGTGGATGCCATCACCCTGGCTTATCAGGCACAGGGTGTGCCCTGCCCGCTCAGGTTGCGAGCTCACTCTACTAGGAGTGTTCCATCCTCCTGGGCGCTGGCTCGTGGCGCCTCGCTGACAGATATTTGTAGAGCTGCGGGCTACACGTTCGCTAGATTCTATAGCCTTCGTGTGGAGCCGGTATCCTCCTGTATTCTCACCTCAAACGGGTAGAGGCGCTGAGATGCCCCGGTTTAGTGTCGGCTTGCTAAAACTGCTCCAGAGTGTCCGTACTGTAGGCCCTGTCAAGCTCCTCCGTCTCCTCGGCAGCCAGACATGGCGGAACGTCCGGCACCAGGCCCTCACTCGCTGAATCCGTGAGAACCGGTAGAGGGCTGGGTTCCAAATGTAGAGGCCTAAGTGGTTCCCATATGTGTAAAGTCCACGGTATAGCCTCAGAGCCCGTGTTTCCCCGGCAGACTTCTTCCATATGCACCTAAACGGATTTCATATGTGTAAGTGCTTCTGAAACCTCCTTCGGGAAGGATGGGGCTTCCGCAACGTTCCTGTTCCAAGTGAAACGGGTACGTTTTCCCAGTGTTATCCAATCTCACTGAGTGGGTAGTGCTATGACAACAGTGACTGGTCTTCTTGTTGCGAGCCCCGGCCTACATCACAAAGGGGCGGAAGCGGCTCGCACAGGACACTGGAAGGGGCAGTATCCATGGCGTTTTGGTAGGGATCCCAATTCGTCGGTCACCAACGTGACTCGGAGTGACCGACTGAAAGGGAACGTCTCTGTTATGTATGTAACCCTCGTTCCCTGAAGGAGGGAATGGAGACGTCACGTCCCGTCGCCACGGCTGCTATACCACCGCTGAGCGGCCGGGTCACCGGCTCGGCTCCTCAGCGAAAACCTGGTATGCGTTGCACCGGCTACCTTTTTATGCTCACGCTGTGATCAGCAGCAGCTGGATACATTCATCGTATGCCATTGCATGCATTGGCTCGTTTAGTTTACACTTGAAGTGGATTGGTCTCTCTAAGCGAGATCCCAATTTGTCGGTCACCGACGTGACATCTCCGTTCCCTCCTTCAGGGAACGAGGATTACATACGTAACCGAGACGTTCATCGCAATCTCACAAATCTCTGTTATTACACAATAAATATATGTATAATGAATCTTTCATAATATCTACAATTCGTGTTATAATGAGAGGATTCATGAGCACGCAAATTTCAGCACTGCATTGCTCAACGCTGCAAACACGTGTTATAGCCTAAATAGAAACTCTGCATACGCTTGCTCCTGTTAATCGTTTATATTTTATATTAGTCCATGTTGCTTTTGTGCAATAGATGTATAACAATTTATTTGTTTTAGATATTTTATGTTTAGATATTTCTATTATGCGGGAGTCCCGTGAATCATTTTATTCTCCCGCATCCCGCACACACACGAGTGTCTACCCGCCCGCACCAGCACTCGCCCATCTTGTCCCGCACTGCGCTCTGTTGCGTCGGGTCTCGTGGGAGAGCAGGCACTTGACTCGACAGTGCATGTGTAACAACCTTTTTACAATCCCTAGATTATAAAACACTGCATTCTGTCAGCAATGTAACACGCCAGTAACGTATAGAGCCTTCGGCTTGTAACTATACTCTAATTACTATTTTGAAAATTATAACGCGTTAAATTACTCCGTTACTAAAAAAGTAATCAAATTACAGTAACGCATTACTAAGTAATGCTATACATGCAATGGGGTTTATTGCTCTTGATGAAAACAACTTTTAGAAAGGGCGTTTTATGAAAAGAGGGGGGGGGGATTCATAAGAGGCTATTGTTAATTTGTATTTAAAGTCATTAGTAAATAACTGAGCTTTCATTAGCGAGGGAAGTTGCGGCAATCTAATTTGCACAAAAATATGCTTTACACAAAAGCCAAATGAACTGCAGGTGGTAGCACTGGTCACACTAGCCAATGAAAGATGTTTTAATATACAAATGGATGTTTTACAAGCTTCAGCTGCTAGTATATTAATTAATAATCATCTGGAGAGTGGTGTTATATCATGATTTAAGACTTCTCACTGTGTGTTCATCATTGCCAACAAGAATCATTTGGTAAATAATTCTGAATTTAGATTAGTAAGTAATGGGTTACCGCTAAGTAATGCGTTACTGCCCAACACTGGTTAGCCGCAAGCACCTTAGCCTAGCATACTTCAGAAAGAAAACTGATTGTCTCTATCTATCTATCCATCCATCCATCCATCCATCCATCAAAAATAAAAAAGGAAGCCAATAATTGTATTATCTAGGTTTGTTTCAAGCAATACTATCTAGCTTTACTTTAAACAATAGAGACAATGTGAGTGTATACGTGTGTGCTTGTGCTTCTGTCAGCATGACTTCTTGATTTGTTGTTTTCACGATCCGCTTTAGTCCATGTTACAGTCGCTTACATTAACAACCCGTCCACTAAACAAGACAGCTCTCATTGTGCTATAAAAATCTGCAATTTCACATCTGTTTGCCGGCCACAGTAATACACCAGGATTTGAAGGCCTCCTCCGGTGAAACCTGCATTTGTGCTCGGCAGAGTCTTAGCTAAACCACTCGGTGCATTTCTTAGAAATAATAATGTTCCCTGGGTTAACAGAGCCTGTAATTATAAAGGAGAAAAACAGTATTAGTGTATGATCTGGCAGAAAGGATCTGTGTGGGGAAGATAAATAAAGCTAACAGGGGCTTTTCATGTGGACAATTACTTTGCCTGGATTCATTTTCTAAATGGGATATTTCATCTTAAGCTTAATTACAAGATATGGGAAGGTTCAAGGTGGGCAGCCTCTGTGATTCGATACATGCAATGGGTTTTATTGCTCTTGATGAAAACAACTTTTAGAAAGGGTGTTTTATGAAAAAGGGGGGGGTTCATAAGAGGCTATTGTTCATTTGTATTTAAAGTCATTAGTTAATAACTGAGCTTTCATTAGCGAGGGAAGTTGCGGAAATCTAATTTGCACAAAAATATGCTTTACACAAAAGCCAAATGAACTGCAGGTGGTAGCACTGGTCACACTAGCCAATGAAAGATGTTTTAATATACAAATGGATGTCATTTACAAGCTTCAGCTGCTAGTATATTAATTAATAATCATCTGGAGAGTGGTGTTATATCATGATTTAAGACTTCTCACTGTGTGTTCATCATTGCCAACAAGAATCATTTGGTAAATAATTCTGAATTTAGATTTAAAATATGAGATCAAGCAAACAAGTTTATATTTAGCATGTGTGCATGTTTTATTCACAACTGTGTTTGCCTGTGAGTGTGTGTAATTAACGTTTCTTGTTTTCTTTGCTTCTAACTTGCAACACTCTGATGAAACACAATGGACTTTGCTGCATTTATCCAGTCGCATGTGAGTTCTGCTGATAAACTTGAACAAATTAAAAATCTACACAACAACTGACTTTATACTGCTTTGTGGGTCAATATATTGACCAATATAGAATATTTAAATTTTTAGGTGTCCAATATCACATATGTACGCCATACAACAACTTATTGGTTTCGATTATTGTTTTGATTTTCAGTTTTGGCACAGTGATAACTAAATTATCAAATTGTACTATTAATAATTATAGTAAAAATAATAATAAACAACAACAAATAATGATAATAATATTAATTGTTGTTGTTGTTGATGTTAAATTTAAATAATTCGTGTTTACAAAAGGACATTTGGCATTTCTTATTAGCTTTGTTTTTATTTCAGTTTTAGTTTTAGTAATGCTAGTACTTCAACCTATTTAATATCAGTTAGTTGCCAAGGCAGCATTTCTAAGCTTTTTAAGTTTATTTTATATTTTAGTAAAAAAAAAAAAAATTAACTAAAATAATTGTAATATTTTTAGTTTTAGAACAACACTGACATTTAGAGCAATTATTTGAGGATTTATTGGTTGATACAAAGTTAAGGAATGATAAATAGATATTCATATTTAGGTAATTAATAAAATGATTAAAGTACATAAAAAACTATTTGCATTTGTTTTGTTTTAGGCTTAGTTTTAGTGTTTTGTAACTGTACCATTTCAATAACGTAAACATTAATATGATTGTGGGTACTTTCCTGTGATATAGGTGATCTCATCTGACATGAAGGAAGACCACATCTTCCGTCTGACAGGAAGGGGAGCAGACCAAGACCCTAAGGGTGTGTTCAGCATCAACCGACTGACGGGAGATGTGGCAGTTAGCCGAGCCCTGGACCGAGAGGCCATCGCATACTACCATGTGAGTGAGATATTAACTCTGTTATCTACTGCGTTCTGCTTTCCTCCCTTGCATACTGTCAGTAAGTATGTAGAAGTTCAGTTAAAGAGCTCAACATTAAACTGCAGGTTTATTTAAGTCATATTAGACTGTCACACGAATAACCGAATGTCCCTATTCGAAAAGAAAATATGTTTTTGCTTCACCCCATGCATCAAGGCGATTAATGGCTGTAATGACTCGTGTCTCTTTGGCAGCCAGCGAGCGGCTCAGTGAAGGAAAGCCGAATGCTGTACAGGATGTGGGACTCCAGTTAGGCAGTTATTCTACAAAACGTGTGTGTGATCAATGATGCAGATGTCAGCTGGCCTGTCAGACACTCGGCTAATGTGTGTTGCGAGTTTGTGCTTGTGAACATGTTGGCTCCTTTCCGTTTTTGCATTAGCGGTCTGATGGTGACTTTATCAGGTTGACTGATAAAGCTTTGTAGAGGGAAAAAAAGGCTCTTTAAAAACCTCATTATATAAACAACAAAAAAAATGTTAAATGAGTAAATGTGTTACTCAAAAGTTCAAAAAGTTCAAAAGTTTGAGTTCAATAAGATTTTTATTTAAAAAAAAAAAACTTTTATTCAGCAAAGATGGATTACATTGATCAAAAGTTACATTTAAGTAATTTATAATGTTACAAAATATTTATATTTCAAATAAATGTTCTTTTTAGCTTTCAATTGATTGCAAAGTTACTTGACTTATCAGAAATGTTACTTGAGCACCAAATCAGCATATTAGAATGATTTCTGAAGGATCATGTGACACTGAAGCTTGCAGTAATGACTGCTGGAAATTCAGTTTTGCCAACTCAGGAAGTAATTACATTTTAAGATGTATTAAAATTAAAAACTGTTATTTTGAATCATAATATTATTTCACAATATTACTGTTTTTAACTATTTAAAAAACAAAAAAAAAAATGCTAACCCCAAACTTTTGCAAAGTAGTGTTGAGACCATTGTATCCTAGTTTACTTAAAAGTTGACACTTCACTTTTAGCGTCTGTAATACCTGAAAAAAGCAATCTGTTCCTATTTATCTTAATGGCAGTTTGTCAGCTCTGGTGCAGGTCTAAAGCTTATTGGCTAGCCCTTCAATAAATCCCACCCCCTTCCTGTTTTAATAGGCAATGCATCAAAACATGAAACGATTTCTTAGGGTCTTTAATCGGAAAAGGATAGACCTTTCAATATGTAGAGCTTTGCCAAAGAAAGGACCACCCAGTGGTAACTCCAGATAACAAGATATACAATACGATTCCTTTGAATTGTGTGCTCAGTTGAGCGAGTTGTTACTTTGATTCGAGAATTCCAGAGCTCTTGTTCTCTTTCTCTTTGTGTCCTCTGCCATTTGACAGATAAAGGAGGGTTTACCTGGTTTCTATCCCCCTGTAGAGGAGAACTAAAGCGGCTCTGCTTAGTTTGATATCCACCTGTCTGGCTAGGAACAGATTTAATAAAAAAGAGTTGCTCTTCTTCCGTCCTCATTTTGTTCCGCCCCACTGGAATGCTCCGATAAAGTGTTCTTAGCAAGGTTTTTGAAAATCTCTGACAGCCTGACGCCTTGGGTTTGTCTTTTCAATAAAAAAAATCTTCTTTTCCTATTAAGAGATCATTCTTTATAGTATTGCTGCTTTTTTGGAGCCGTTGCGTACAGGCTGTTCTTGCTAGGGGCATTACAAAAGTCGAACAAGTGTGTGTGTGTGTGTGTGTGTTTATTCTGGCCTAAAAAGTTCTGTGAGGAAAGATGGCAGATTCCAAATCAGATACTTCTCGGGTTTGTCACTGTCCGCTGGCTGAGGAGCTGCCTTTGAGATGGAAGGGAATGCTAACACAGACAGTACCAGACAGTTTTGGGAAGTAAAAGTAGCAATGCTTACATAAGTTTTCCAGAGTAGCTCTTGTGGTAGCCATTTATTTCTATCCAGTAGCCGTGTGGCCTCAACAAACAGTACATGACTCTTCGTAATGTCGGAAGGAATAATCAAACACACTCGCCTAAGCTTTTCTCTCTCAAACTGTTCAAAAGTTTTGTGTCTGTAAGAATTTTTAATGTTCTTGAAAGTCAAAAATATTTTCTGTAAATGTTCTTTTTAAATCTGCTGATGTGAATTTTGTCAACTTTTACAAGTAAACTTGGACACAAGGGTCTCAAAACTACACTATTGTTTAAAAGTTTGAGGTTAATGTTTTTTTTTTTTTTTAAGTGTTTTATGTGTGCCAAGGCTGCATTGATTGGATCAAAAATACAGAAATACTGTAAAATATAATTACAGTTTAAGATAATTGATTCTTGATTTTTAAATGTCATTTATTACTGTGTTGGCAAAGCTTTTTGTTTTATAGCAGCCATTACTCCAGTCTTCAGTCTTCAAAATGTGATGAATAGAAATCAATCAGTCAATCATAAGGACCCCAAAGTTTTGCATGGTAGCCTGGGAAAGTCTGATCTAATCTAGAGTCTTTTCATCCTAATTGATTTTTTTTCTCAAATGTAGCATTGTAAAGTATTGGATAGATGATGTAAATGAAAAAATAGAAAAAAAGGTGAATTCATTCAAGTCCATGAACAGTATGTTGAATTATATTTGACTTGGTTATGAACTTTGTTTTATTTAGTACAAATTTAGCATTTGAAGTTTGGCACTGTCACCGTCTGAGAGTTATTCATTCATAGCTCATTGTTTTTGTGCTAGCAAAAATGCAGCTTGATTAAATCATACATTGTGTCATGGGATAGTTTTTGTTTGTAGCGTGTACTGTACCTGACTACTTTTTCTAAACAGTAGCTTGACTGTGGTTTAACAGCTTCAAATTACGATTAGCTTGGAGCTACATTTCCATTGTAGCTGCCCCAACACTGAGGATGGCTTTTACACTATTGTATAACCACCATAGTTTAGGTCTGCTGGTCACGGCAGAGTGGGTGTGTGCTCTGAAGAGGAGGGTAATCTCAGGTCCGCAGACCCCAGTCGGGATCAAAGCCCTCACTCGGCAGAGCACTTGACATTTACATCTCCTTATCTCCCTTTCTCTCACATCCACACCACCCGCAGTCTAAAAAGCGTGCGTCAAGCACGTGCACATCAAAGCTTGACATTTTACAGCACTAATGCTCACACACTCCTATCTTGATGAAGGAATGATGCTAACCACAGCTGTTTTTGCATATGGCTGTGTCTTTCTGAGAATGATTACTCTTTCTGTTAGTGAAGCATTGAAATGATTTTTGTTACTAAAGCAACAAAACTGACATTAAAGTTTTAATTTAGCTAAAAACCGAAACAGAAAATTAAGTTTTGGTAATTCATTTGGGTAATTGAAATCAATGTGTTCTTCAGGGTGTTGTGTTCTCAACTGATATATTAAACCAGTTGTTCTTCACAGTGTTGTTATAGTTAACTAAAACTGAAATTAAAACTAGAACCATAAAAAAATTATTACTTGAAATAAAAGGATTTTACTTCAAATTATATTTAATTATTTATTGAATATAATACAAAATAAAATACTTTTATTTTGGCTAGTTGGCAAAGCAACATTTCTCATTCTAATTTAGTTTATCTTGATGTACTAAAATAGCTAAACAACAAACAAAATTAATAAAACTTTAAAATTAAATTGAAAACTGAAAATATAAAAATAAAAACTGATTCAAATTATTAATAAAAACTATTATAGTAATACTCTAGTGTCTCAGTGATAGTTTAAATAGCTCTGTTCTTCAGCAATATATTTATATTTTAGTTTAACAAATTTTACACACACACTTTAATATAATTGGTCATGTACAACAGTCAAAACACATCATTGGAGGAGAACTAATTAAACATCACTGTTTCGGTCAATGATTTTGCCCTTCCAAACCCACTTTGTCCAAAACCTTAAATTATTTTTTTTCACTTTTTCGGCCGGTTGACTACATTTTAGTGTATCACTATCTACTGTGTCTTTCTCGTTTCTCGCCTACAGTATGTTGTTTTTTTTGCTAGCTTATTCCTCCATCAGTGTTATTTTCCCACTTTTTCTCCTGCCGTTCCGAGTGATTTTGTGAACTAGTCGGACGAGCGGGCATGTCGGTATTGAAATAATCCACTGGCTCACCTGCTATGGCAAAGAGCCTTGGAGCCCCTGACCTCTAATTTCGTGTTGTTCTCCATCTAATCACACATATGGGCCAGTTCCCCCTCGCATCGACCACCTCACGTACACATATGTAGTGCAACACCTCAATGCTGCCACACTTCACCTAATTCCCGTGCCATGCTGGTGGGAATAACCGCATTTTCCGGCTGATCCCTCTGCAGCACATCAGGAGTAATTACACCACAGCTAATTCCAGCCAATCTCACACTAGGAGTAATCACAGGCGTGTTGCAGCGCATATGGGGAGGGGAGTGGTGGGTGATCCAGGCCAGGAACTGTTTTCTCAGGTGGTGCCGCATCGCTGCTGTGTATCTTAGTCACCGGCTCCGCAGGAGTCAACTCACAGCAGTTTCTGGCAGCGACTTTTTCTCTCCACTGCTTATTCCTTCCCATTGCTGTGTGTATATGAATTAGTTGTCTTATGAGCCTTGTGAACCAACAGCATTTTTACTGTTTGAAATGAATTTTTTTTTTAGGGTGTTGAATTGGGGTTGTTAAGGTTTTTAGCATGTTACTAAGTGGTTGCTAGGGTATTTTGGGTGTTTGCCAAGGTGTTGCAGTGTTTAGCATGTTGCTGTGTAATTGCTAGGGTGTTGCAGTGGGGTTGTTCAGGTTTTTAGCATGTTGCTGTCCGGTTGATAGGGTGGTGCAGGTGGTTGCTAGGGTGTTGCTAAGATTTTTAGAATGTTGCTAAGCAGCTTCTATGATGTTTTAGGTGGTTTCCAAAGTGTTGCAGTGTGGTTTTTAAAGTATTTTAATGTTTTAGCATGTTACTGTATGGAGTCTTTTTGGTGGTTGCTAGAGTGTTTAGCATGTTGCTAAGCACTTGCTTGTGTTGCAGCATGCATTCTAAAGTGTTTGGAGTGTTTTAGCATTCATTGTTCTGTTGTTAGGGTTTTGTTGGTGGTTGCTAGGGTGTTGCAGTAGGTTTCTTACCATTGGTTTTCTTTAGCATGTTAATTAGTTGCTAGGGTGTTTTGGTTGGGTTCCAGGATCTTAAGATTTTTAGATGTAAAGATTTTTAGCATGTTACTAAGCAGCTGATAGGGTGTTTTAGGTGGTTTACAAGTTGTTGCAGTGTGTGTGTGTGTGTGTGTGTGTGTGTGTGTTTTCTAAAGTGTTTTGAATGTGTAGCATGTT